AATGAAAGCCACCAGAAAACAAAAACAAAAATCACCCCACCTGCAAATGGGGCCAACCATGTGCAATTGCCCTGGCAAGTATTTGTCGTCTCTGCGTTGCAGAAGGCCAGAGATCGTTAAGAGAAATGGAAGGGCTCGCCTTCCTCTTATTTCCGTGAGGTTGCGCTCGTGTGGCTGAAACAGATAAATGATTGACTGGGGAAAGTTTTCTCAAAGTCATTTCCTCCCACAGACGGGCTCTAAGGGGAGCTGGCAGCCCTGCCACTGAGGAGTCTGGTGAGCACCTCTGTTACACTTACCATTTCACTTGGAAAGCTAACTGAACCCAGGTGCTCGCCCCACCTTCCTGCTCAGTTGCAAAGCAATCTGGAGAACAGAACTAGGTGAATTCTTCCTTCCACACCAGAAAGGAAACAGAAAAAGGAACAAGAAGTCCAGGCATTGCTAATGCATGCACAGTGTTGGGCTACTGGCTTTCCTGCTGCTGCTTTGCAAAGAAGAGTGCAGCCTGCTACCTTTCAGCGGAAAAGAGAGGAGAGAGAGGAGAGAGAGGAGAGAGAGGAGAGAGGGAGAGAGGGAGAGGGAGAGAGGGAGAGAGGGAGAGAGGGAGAGAGAGAGAGAGGGAGAGAGAGAGAGAGAGAGAGAGAGAGAGAGAGAGAGAGGGAGAGAGAGAGAGAGAGAGAGAGAGAGAGAGAGAGAGAGGCTGAAGCCTATTGTCATTGCAGAGTGGATGCGTGAAAGAGGAATTCTAGCATCAACAATCTGAGATTGTTGCCCCTGTGGCCGATCAGCAAAACAAAATGGGCTACAGTCAAACCTCTAGCAGATTGTTTGGTTTCAGTAAATCAATGTGCAAGGCATAAAAAAAGATCCTTGTTTCTTTTACTGCATGCATAGCTGGTGAGATAATCCAGTCAATACTGTATTAGAACCTTTTCATCAAATGGCAAGAAGAGGAAGCAATGCCTGCCCATTACCCCCCAAAGCACAACAACATCCAGCCATGAAAAGAAGTCAATGCATTTCCCCCCGCTTGGGCATCAGGCTATAATTCGTAACACAAAAAAACTTGGATGGTGCATGGTCAGCGTTCTCAAGACGCTCCAGCAGTTGATGACGTTGACTTCTTAAACACACTACCTGCCCCCATCCTGCCTGCATGCGGTCGGTCGTCATCACTCAAGGCACTCCGGGGCTGCAGTAGCGCGGGAGGCAGGTGAGTGACTGTACCTCGGCTGGCTTCCATACTGACGCAGAGCCTTCCCTTGACGGTCTCAAATGGACCATCCCTTTTTTTCAATGGAACACATCGTCAACATCATGCCAATTGCCACTAACAGCATGAGTAGAAGAACTGACACTGGAGTGTTTCTATCTTCCCCCTTCTTATCTAGAGGTGACCAGCGAGGCAATTGCAAATAATCTACAGCAGAGATATGTGAAGCCTGGACTAAGTCTGCTTTTTATAGTCAGGCAGATTGCTTTTTTTTTTTTTTTTTTTTCACTTCATCTGTTCTTATTATCCAGAAGCGGGTGCCAAGCTGACAGTTTCCAAATGGAGGTTAAGAATGCATTAAAAAAACAAAAAAAACCAAATCAGAACAAAAAGACAAACCTTGTAAAATGTCAACCACCACCAAAAAAAAACAAAGATCAATAAGGCACAGTTGATGCATTTACTACCATGTCACACAAGTAGAACTTTTGTAAGTAACTTCCTGGGGAAAAGAAAATGAGCAATGACCAAGTCTCAGGAGAAGAGTAACAGCAGTAGAACCAGGACTGCATCTCTAATAAACTTGAACCATGGCCTTTGCCTCTATGAATGCTGCAATTAAAAGCTCAACTGATGCTTCTAATTGAACTCTTCTTAGACCATCTGAAACAGGAGCTGGCTGACCAACCTGAGGACTTCCTTACCCTTTTGGTTCTACTGGCAGTGGGGCAGTGAGGGAGCTGTCTCCTTGGGGACTTCTGTCAAGTTCTGTACTGTGTGCTGGGTTCAATTACTTAAGAGGGAAAATGACAGTGTCACTTAGAAAGAGGGAGTGAGTGCATGCTGAAAAATCCCCTCCTCTCGCTGCCATGCTAATGAAGTTAAGCAATGCCAGAACCCAGTCTCTCTCTCTGACCCAGCAGCTTATTCACCTTGGTGACTGTGCTCAGAACAGGAAGTACAGGCAGCGCAATGGTTTAATTTTGAGTTCCTTTCCAATAACGATGTTGGAGACCACTAGAGCAGGCGTCCTCAAA